CGTCTTATGATACTCAGTACATGGCTTCCCAAACTCACTATTGCCGTATATGGTACTCTCTTGACGGAAGTCCAGCCGGTAACTCAGCCAACCGCACAAGTTGAAGATGGGTAATTCTTGTAATGCTTATAGTTGGAACGTGAGGCATGTTGAGATACATTAGGTGATGACGTGGGGCTATACGGCCTGAGATGGTTGCTAGATTTGTAGTTCGTTAGGGTCGATTCATGAGGTACACTGGAAGAGATCGCAGTCGCATCTTCGTCTGCTGAAGGCCTCCTCGATGTTCGTGATGTCCTCCCAGAGGTAGGCACTGAAAAATCGACTCTCAGCTGTCTGTTGTCGTGTGGGGTCCGTTCACGAGATCCTCTGGGCTCGGTTCTATATTCGCGAGCGTCCGGGATTGGTGAGGGTGTCAAAGACGCTTGTGGTCGTGATTTTGAGTGCGGAGTTGTTGACCTATGGGGGACCGGGACGATTGTCTGGGGGACGGGAGGTGCCGGCTCATAGTTTGGTGTTCTGGATCTTCGAGGTGTGGGTGTTGTCGCGCGCCTTGGCTTGACATTTACGGGTGTGATAGCCCTGGTCTGAACTGGTGAGACGGAGCGGGCACGGGGGTAATGGTTCGATGGTACTGCAGAGTAAACTTCGGAAGGTACCATCCTTTGAGGCTGAGGGTGAAGATATCCTTGGTATTGGGGAGTCGCTGGGTAGGAATAGTACGACTCTTCATAAGCAGTACCCGCCATTGATGCTTGTTCCTCCATTGCCTCCTCCATCCCCTGGATCGGTACTCCTCCCTCCGCATAGACCTGGGGAAGAGTAGTCCCCGGCCGAATGTAGTCCACAGTCCCCGCTGCATCTACATCTGTGCATGTTCATGTAAATACTTGGTCCTTTGTTGATTATCATAGCATCAACACTCACGAAAGTGGTACCAGGTGCCATCCTCGTTGACCGGCTCCTCGCCCATTTGGACTGGAACTGGGAATCTTTGCTGATGTTCCGTAACGATTTGTATTTCTTTTTTTGCTCTAGACTTTTCGCTTCTCCAAGTTAAAGGGGAGGACCTTCCCTTTTTCTCGGGCATATTGGACAGGTCCATAGGAGCGGCGTAAACTGGATATATGTATTGTAGGGTAGGATGAGGCGTGGCGACAGCGTATAGCTGAGGCTCTTCCGAGTTGGATGGCTTTGACTGTCGGGAACCCATATTTTCTTCTATAAATTCAGCGACGCCCGTTCAACAAAGATTGGGTAGTAACTGGGAAAGAGGGAGGGTCGATTATCAGCTGCTCATAGTCATCGGTAGTACGCGTGGAGCTTACCAAAGGTTGGTTGGTCTCTTGCTCGTAT